ACACACTGTTATTTCACCTCTGTGTGGGCAGGATCTCCTTGCCTTAAACAATCAGAATACATTAACTGAGTCCACACGCTGAGGACATAATGCCCTCTTCTCTTCATTTATCAGATTTAGATTCTCTGCCCCATTTCCCACTCCCTTCCGTTCCTCCACCTCCATCACTCCTCCTCAGTACGCTCCTCAGTATCTTTCAACCTCTCCCCCCGCCCCTCACATCTCCACAGTACCTCCCTGCTGGCCAGTAATGTGGCTGGCAAACCAATTTGACAGTCTCATCTTCGCCCAAAAGCTGGGGGAGGCCCCCTGAGGGTCCGGTTTTGACTGTGCAGAGGAGGCAGAGTGAGAGTGTGCCCGTCCCAATCGCCGTTAATCATCTTTAGGTTCGTCTGATGGCCCTTGCCCTTGTTTTTGTGTCTGTGCGAATGTGTATGGATATACGCTGTCTAAATGACTCATAATGTGTAAATGAGATGGAGCGCTGAGACATTGGTGGTCCTTTGTCTTTCCTGTCATTTGGGGTGTGTTATGAGGTTTTAGCTTTGAGTGGGAGGACAAGGATTTCACAAACATTCATCACACTGTTACTGTTACAGCTCTGCTAAGTTGTTTAAACTCCTTCAACAACTTACTCCTCAAATAGTTTCTGGACACTCAAAATAACAATAAAAAAATTAAGTGTAAAATGATTAAATATCCATTTAAATATACATTAAAAACACTTTCCCAACTCTGTTAATTATCACTTGCTTGCATGGAATTCTATATGTTATTCATCTGAGGAAAAAGTGCTGTTTTCTTTATTCTCTTTAAAATAAATCACAGTTAAGCTGTCGGTGGTGAACCAAAGGGGTGGGGTTTTTTCATGTTTTTGCACCAGATATTTTAAAGCGGGATTTAAAGGCCTTTGCTAACATATTCCCTCTATGAGCATCATGCCCTTTGTTTATAAGAGACAAACCCAGAGCTGACTGTGTAGCGGAGGAACTGGGCCCACATGCCGTGTGGGGACCGGAGGGGGAAGAAGGAAGATGGAGAGATGAAGGAGAGGGGAGGAAAGAGACTTTCCAACATAATTAACCTTCACTCTCTCGGTTTGCAGCGGCCCGTGCGGGGACCACGGGCTGCGCACGGCTGCATCGTGGGAACGTGGAAGAAGGAGGACACCTGCTCACTGCGGCGACACAGAAAGAGTCCGTTCAGATGTTGGAGTGAAGGTTAACTTAATATAGAACGTCAACGAATCAAGAACTACAGGGAGACGGGGCTAATAATAAGCATGATTACTGCCAAGAACAGTTGATCAGGCAGGCTCTTCTTCTCTTGTGTCAACACTGCTCTCTTTCAAGAATAAATATGCAGTCATTTAGTTTTTGTACAGGAGGCAGCCGGGGGGCTGAGGGGAAAACACCTCACTGCAGTGATACCACACACTTCAGTTTCAAAAACTCCTAAATAAATGTTGTTTATGGCAATGTGGGGATAAAATCTGGGCAGTAGAGATGTTTCTGAAAAGCTGTTTCTGCATTGTGACCTCTGACTTTCATCAGCTGGCTGTTTTCTTTCTTTGAAGCAGAAACATTTTTTATAGTCTCTATTGTTGCGTTTGGCTGTTCTTTGGTCAGTGAACTAATCAAACGCACACAAATCCTTCTTGGTGTTTGATTTGAGCAGACAGGCAGAGCTGCATTCACATTTACACAAACCAGCTGTGAATAAAACAATTCACACACGGTCTGCTGCCCTATTATTTAAAATTCACTCCTTTTGTTATGTCAGAGTTGAAAAGGTAAATATCCAGGGCTTTTTCATATTAGTTGCCTTAGATGAGCTGCTGTTTAGATTTGTTCATTAACTGTCATGTTAACCAAGTCTGGGAGAAAAAAAAGATTTAATTAGCAGCAATAACGTAGTTTAATTGATCAAATTTGCAAGCAATAGACATTCAAACAGTATTTTCAGCAAATAAATTTGTCCATGCAGTTTCCTAATCTTATCAGAACAAACGCTCTGATGAAAACAACTAAATTATATTCCTATTTTATTGCTTCCATTACACTCAAATACACATTATGTCATTAGAGGATTATCCAGGGACAGATTTGATGAGAGCAGAGCTTGTGTATCGACTTGTCTCAAAGACCCAGGATTTCTCCAGCTTTGCAGCGCTTCATTTTTTTCCTGTTGTTTTCCTTGCCGTTTGAACCTGCGGCAGATAATGTGTCCCATATGGCGTCAGGAAGCGTATGGAAACAGCAGCGTGCGTTGGTCTCACCCACCCAAAGCGGGCCTGCTCTGTCTTAAAGACACGACATTGTCCTGGCTGCTTGGTTCTCCTTCCTCTGAAGCTCTGTTGTCCATATGCTCTGCCACGTTGTGAGTTTGACTGGCATTTTATATGCTGGTGTTTTTCATCAACTCAGTTAAACTGTCACACGTGTCCAAACTGACAAGGTGTTGACGGTTTATTATTTTATTCAATATTTTTTATTGATGCCGTCTAAAACTTCTAACTTGCAGTTCTGAACTTGGTGTTTCTTAAAGCCCTCTTCTCCCACACTTTTATATTCTGCTAATTGTTATTTTTACACTTGACATTTTTGTTATCTCGTTTAACTTTCCGCGAGTCACTATGTGCGGATTAAATAAAGCAATTGGCAAAACAAAGCAGAACTGATGTACGTGTTTAGCTTTTGATTCAAAAGTTAGATATTAACGTAATCTGAGCAGTGTTGCAACATTTCCTTCGGTGAACCTATCTGAAAAAAAGTTTTAGATTGTTGCATGCAAGCTGCGCAACACTGTCTTTCATCTGGTTTGCCAACACGTGCATAAGAGCCAGTGCTATTTTAACGGGGCTGATTCACAACATTTTAAAAGCTTGTTAGAAGGATGGATCTAACACAGTTATTGGTGGCAGCGCACCACAGTCACACCTCTGTCGGCACAGCTGTGTCAGGTGAGCATTTGCAGCAGCGCAGTTTCACCTTTACGGACTCTCGCTCCTTTTTCGGTTCCGCCTATTCCCACATCTAATAGAGCCTCAGATTAACCAGCTCTATTTACACGAAACAAACAGTGCCGAGAACAGATGCCACAAAAATAGTAAAAGCGATAGAAGGCTGGGGGCAGAAATGGATAAGCAAAGTTTGGACAGAGAGAGGAAGCAGAGGTAGAGGAAATGAGACAAAACACTCAAGAAAAATGTAGAACTCCTTCAGGTGGGATGCTTTTCTTTTTTTTACAGGTTCAGTCTTTAGCAGAAATATCACTTGTTATGAACATAACAAGAAAAGATTAAATTTTCCACCAAAGACCACAAACCCTTTTATGTGCAGCAGATGAGCTTTGACAACAATATAAATTATATATTTAAGTGTGAAAGTATACAGGTTATTAGCATGCAAATAATTATCATTTTGAACCCCATGAGGAACCTTTGCCGGGCAATGGAGATGTTGTGCATCATGTGTGTGTGTGTGTGTGTGTGTGTGTGTGTGTGTGTGTGTGTGTGTGTGTGTGTGTGTGTGTGTGTGTGTGTGTGTGTGTGTGTGTGTGCGTGGGACTGAAATGTGCTAACAAGCCCAGGTGAATATAGCTGGCCTCACCTTCTTATAATGCGCTAATAAATGCAGTGGTTTGACAAACTGCTGTCAATGTTAATGTATGCGCCTTGAAAAGGTGAGGCAGTGAGGGCAGGTAAACAACACACTGCAGCTGGAAGGATGATGTGTACAGTTAGCTTTTTTATTAACGAGTGTATGTGTTTTTCTCTTCACTTCACTCCACTCTGCCGAACTTTGAGTTGACACAGAGCAGATGTCACACAGCACCTTTTTAAAGTTTCCTGGCAGCTAACAGATGTTAAGTGACAGTTTATTGGAGGAAAGGTTTGCGAAAACTACAAAGTTACTCTTATTTTAATAACACGAAATACATTTCTGGGCAAAAGTCTAAAGCTGCCCTTCTTGTTTTCAATGTTTTTTTTTTTCTAAATTCCTGTACATGGCACTGTTTAGAGGAGATTCAACACTGTAGATTCAGCCTGTAAGTCATTCAAGTAAATGCACCAAAATGTAAAAAAGTAACCAGACAACTGGGCAAAAGTTTTAAAAGTTTGTTTCCTTCCACACATTTCACAGTTCCTGTGTCAAGTTTTTCTAGATTTTTTTTTAAATCTTAAGATAACTTCCATACTGTACATCTGCTCTACATTTTCAGGCCGACTATTTTTTTTTAACTTACCCAGTTTTCTTATTATTTTAAGACTTGTTGCACACTATACCATGATATGTTATGTTAATTAAAACATATTTTTAAGAGTAACAGTATTAATGAAAAAATATTATTTTTTATACGTGTCTGTGATATGGTTAGCAATTTTGTTGAAGAAATAACAAAAACAGATTTCGCGACAGTTTAATAAAAATGTGGCAAGATGGTTTATTTCAAACATATTTTTTCTACTGTACGTTATCTAGTAAAAGAAAAAAAGAATCTTCCCAGAAAGTTCAGGTACAGGGACTGTGTTGAACGTCAGAGAAAATGCAGTCTGCATTCAAATAAAATCCTTGAAATACCTAAAGAAAACCTCGAGAAGTATTGCTCAAGATCGCTTTAAAAAATTCATCAAACTCTGGGACCTTGAAAACAAAACATAAAGAAACGTGTGGTTTTTCAGTTACTGTAAAGCACACACAAAAACCCCACCAAATCCTGTTTTTACAAGGCTTCTATGAAAATGCTTCAAACCTTAAAATTTGCCGTCAAGATGAAATTAAAATTAAACCTACCTTGAAAGGTTACAGATAAAACATAATAATAAATAAATAAATTTCAGGCTTGTTGCACTCACCTATCTCGGCTGCGCCGGGAGGGGAAAGCAGCGTTACAACCAGCCACCGTGCACACATGCATTTCTTTGAGGTGCACGTTCTTGTAGTGCAGTTTCATGCTATAGGAACTCTTGAAGCTTTTCTTACAAACGTAGCAGATCTTGGGATCAGGACTGGAACATGGATCTCCTTCCGGCGAATGAGACAATGGGAATTTGGGTGGGCTGGCACCGTACCCGATTGAAGAGATGAAGCTCTCGTGGAGAGCAGCCATGCTTGCGGCAGCCGCAGCGGCCGCCGCCATGCCTCCATTATAGAGACCATACTGGCTCATACAAAACATGTCATACGTTGGGTCATTTAGTTCCTCCTTAATCTTGATAGGAGGATGGTGAGGGGAGGGGGAGGAATGACCGTTTCCTTCTATTTCCTTTCTCAAATGTGCTTCTTCATTAGCCTCGCTTTCTTGCTCCTTGTCCAGACCTCTTCCACCCCTGCTGTGTTTATGTTGTTCCTCTCCGTCCATCAGCTCATCCCGGTAGAACATCTTAGAATCAGATGTTTCAGACTCATTTTCAAAGTCTCTTTCGTGGTCCTGATCCTCAGAGGTAAAGCTGCCCATACACCGTAACTCGGACACTCCACCGCGGCTCTCACTACCAGTCCCTTCCCTACATTCATCTTCACTTTGTCTGATCATTCCCCTCAGAGCCAAACCAGGGCTCATCTCATCTTGCGAGGGGGACTGTTGCCCACTTCCACCACTATGATGTCCTGTGCCATTTCCACTGTTGTTGCTGTTACAGTTACCATTAATTTTGATGTTGTTATGCAGAAGAGTTGACTGGTGATGACGATGATTATGGTGGATGTTATCGTCATTGTCATCATCTTTGTCCTCATATTCATCTGCCACATCGATCACTTCCTTCTCAATCTTAACAGGCATGCTAGATTTTCTGGGTTTCTTTTTAGGTGTTGGGTCACAGCTGCTTGTAGTAAGGTCCTGATTGGCACTAGCAGAGGATAAGCGGTGGGCTTCTGACACATGGACATTGTTATGTGAAGCAACAGCAGCCAGGATCTGCTGTTGCTGGTCCATCAGTGTGGTACTATTGGTAGTGGAGGGCATGATGGGACTGGTTGGCAGTGACACTGGAGGACTGACAAGGTCTGCTGGGGACACTAGAGTTCTGTAGAATGGAGGCACTGGCTGCACAGGCTGCACTGACTTCAGTGTGGGGAACACTAATGGACTTTGCAGAGGTGACTGAAGTAAAGGGTCCACCGGAGGAGTTGTGAAGCCAAGCGGTGGTCTTCCAGGGCTAGTGAGCGTGAAACCACTGCTCTTGCTGTTTGAGATGACTGATGTGCCACTGGTGGAATTGGCACGGATGAGGTCCTTGTCACGGTTGTTGCGCAGCATGGGCATGTGCAACCGCGGATTGGGATTGGCACTGTGGCGGTTACGGCTGCGCAGTGAGCTGAAGACCATGTTGCATCCCTCAATGGTACAGCGATGTTTGATCTTCAAGTGGACAGCGTTGTAGTGTATCTTAAGTGTGCCTTTATCGTAAAAGGTTTTCCCACAAGCATTGCAGCACACGCGGCCCTTACGTGAAGTGGCTCCCATGCGGCGCATTCGATGCATTTTGGAAGAGAATGATGGATGGGAGATTGTTTTAGATGGCTCATCTTTTACAAAGTGGTGGTGGACCTGGTGTTCACTCAAGCTGTTGGGCTGCTGAGATTGAATTTGGGACTGCTGTTGGCCCTGCGGCTGTTGCTGCTGAAGTTGTGTCTGTTGTTGCTGCTGTTGAGCTTGCTGGAGGGATGGGGTAGGTGATATGGGTGATGCACAGCTGTTGGGTTCTGTCTTAGGTTCAGTGTTGTTGCTAATGCCTCCTATTACTCCACGACTTGGACTTTGACCTGTGCGGAAAGGTGATAGAGACACTTCTGATTCACTGGTCTCCACATGTTCTCCTTGGTTTGGCAGGCTGGGCTCCCGAAGCCGTAGGGCAGACTGCTCCAATGGGAGGCCATTGGGGGGCAAGCCAAGCATGGGAGCAGAGACTGGGTTGATGTACTGAAATGGTAGGAGGAAGGCTAAGCTGTTGGGGATGTTTTCAAAATGGTGAATGCTGGATGGGCTACTGTTTTCCAGATGTGTCAACAGCCCTGGGCTGCGGGTCCTGTTATTACTTTCGATGAATGTTCTAATCCCAGAGTCTGTCTTTGACGAGGGAACTGTAACTGCCTGACCTTCTTTCTCCTGAATAGCCATAAGCTCCACAATGGACTTGGTCTCACCAAAGCGCAAGAACTGCTGCAGGGTGATGATCTCTTCTTCGCGGGACATGATGGTCCATCGGTCCAACACCTTGCCTGCAGCATCCTAAATGTCCCAGAAGAGACAAGAGAGAAGATACAAACTATTATTGATTGTGAATAATCAGTCTGGTCAAAGTACAAGATAGAGAAGAGGCGAGTTTTTCTGCTCATGAAATTCAGAAGGTCCTGGAGCAACACCTATCAAATAAGCGTCAAAAATCTAACCTTCTCTGTCCAACTTTTCAATTTATTCCTCATAATTTACTCACTGGCCCAATAATCACAAAATAATTTAAATCAACGTTTAAAAAATTAATGATTTTGCAGTCAGGAGGAGTTCTCAGAAGGCCTCTGCACATTTAAGCGTTGTAAAGTTCTCATACGAATGTATGAGGCTGAATAAAACAGAGTTGTAAATACAAACTCTTGCTGAAACTCCCTCAGTGTACAAAGAGCACTTTGAGGTTGTTGTTTTTTCAAACCATGTGAGCCAAATAAATAAATAAATAAATAAATAAATAAATAAATAAATAAATAAATAAGGAATAATTAGTGCAAGTCAATAATCAGACCTCAGTTGGCATGCATGTGTTCTTTATCTGTTAAGTAGTGAAATACTAAAGACAAGACAGTAGGAAAAAGTGGACATTGGCAGATAGAATTTCATACTAACATAAGGTTATTTTTGATGCTGATTTAACATTTGGTTCCTATCATTGCACAGAATAGATGATTAGTGTGAAATCCAAACAATGTTTTCTAAGTGCTGAAAGGAAATATGTGGTTTAACAGGTTATGTTTTTTCCCAAATGAAATTTTAGCTTCAGTTAACAATTCCTTATGTTGAAATTCGCAAATAAACATACATTTAATAAACAATAATTATTATAATTTGTGGCAATTTTGTTTTTGTGCATATTGAGGCAAAAATGAGAAATCAGATGCCTGACAGTCAGCTGGGAATTAGGAATTTATCTGAAGCAACAAAGATATGCCACAAACGGAATAAAAAGAAGAAAATCAGTCTTCATGATCTTGTGTACATTGTCATACATGCAAGAGAGAATACACAAATGTTTATATACGTATGTGTACAAAATGGAAATTTACAAAAAGAGACAGGAAGATATAGTATAAATACTGTAGTTAAAACAAGCTCCTGAGGAAACAAGTGACATCAAGGGAGTAACACAAACGATGACAATTAGTCATATTGAAATGGTAGCATTCCTTATGTGCTCCTAGCTGCTGGCATCTATAAAAGATAAATGGCAACTCGGTGAGTAGAAAGCTGTAAAAACCAACATCACAAAGCACAAAGGGCCTGTAAGGAGAAAACAGAAGATAAATGTTTAAAGAGAGACAGCAAAAAAAGAGATAGCATGAGAGAGACACAGAGGAAGAAACACAGAAAAAAAAATAAAAGTGTGAGTGGTTTCATATCATGCCCTCAGATATACTAGAGAAATAGATTCTTCTGAGACGAAACATCAATAGTCACTGGGGTATTTGTTGTTAAATATACATTAAAAAACATTTTACACTTTCATTCTGTGTGCGCTCTGGAGTTTTAGCCTGGAGGTATGACTTTAAATTCTAGCCTGGACACTATTATTTCATACTGCAAGGCCATGTGGGCATTAGTATCTCCATTTGATTTAATTGAAACAAAAAAATCAAAGCAAATTAAAAAGTGAATCTTAAAGTAGCTTCACCAAAATTCTTAAAGTGTGGTTCTAAGATGTGCACCCGTCTTTTTATAGATTTTTAGAGATAACACGGGACTAATTTTTCTTACACATTTAAATATACTAAGGTAGCCAGTCAAAGATAGGTTTGGACATTTAGTGTTTCATTTTTATAAGAAGCAAGTTAATAAGGATAACTGCTAAATTTAAGCTTTTTTTAAATATCTATGTAGTTATGTGTCACTTTGATGATGGAATTCTAATTAAGGATTTTATAGCCCCATATATGTGGAGGTCATTTTATCTGGAGTTTCATCAGTGAATACAAGGGAATAATCTCAGTCCATATTTTAATATTAATATCACACTACAAATGTTTGTAAATTTATACAAAGCAACAAGATAGCATCAAACTGCAACCTATATCCAACTCTTTGAGGTTATTTTATTTTTCTGCTAGTTTAAAGCTTGCCTTAACTTTAATTAAGAAATAAAATAAAAGTCATGAAAGAATGGCACAGGTCCAACCACGATGCATTGGTGTTAGAAAATATGAACAAGCCATCAAAACAAGTTTATCTGATTGTATCTAAGATGATGCAAAGTGAGAAGATGACTGTACTGATGAAAAATCTACCAGTTCAAGCATGGCCATGACTAAAGAGGCTTGTGGTTGCCTTAAAACAACTCTAAACTCCTTTTGAGACCAGAGTTTCTCCAAACTTTGATTGTTTGAGGTGCTATCTACAACAGGTAGGATATTAATAGGTCATAACCTTTTCTCATGGCAGAACTTTACAAGATTTACTGATTCAGGTTTAGGAGAAAAAAGAAAGACATTGACATATGATTAAACATAACTGGTGTCATATTAGGAACAATAAGTCAACTGAAGTAAAAAACCAAATGGTGAAAAAAATGAGTAAAGTTCAGTCTATGTGGAAACCCATTTGGCTGTTTTGCCAATAATCCTTTTTTTTAATTCAAGACACTTCAGCTCCTATTAACACTGTTTGACAAATTCCACTTCACAGAAACAAAACAAAGTAGAAGATCTGACAAAAAATCCAAAGTATTATATTAAGACGAGCATTTAAACTGCGTTGACACATATTTGCAGACAAACACATGCCCCACAATCTTTACTACCATAAGTCTCCCAACTGCACTCTCCTGCATTAGCCTCATGAAGCTGTGAGAGAAACAAATATGCCATTAGAAGCACTTTTACAAGTAGGCACTCATCTTCCAATTAGCTTAATGTGGCCCTCTTCCCACTATATTTTCCAGGCGTGCCCCACCTATTCTTGTACACTCCCTCCAGTAAAATCTCATTAATCGACCCCCCCCCCCATCTCCCCTAGTGCTATGACATATTAGTCTGTCATTAAGCATCCCAGAGTTCTTTAAACAATGCAGCTAAACCTCTGTTTGCCAGGTTAATGACTATTAACCAATAATTACAGAAGCGAGACGATGGGGTACCCCCCTTTATCTGGTGGACAGCTTCTGATGTTTGTTTATTTTATCTGCTTACCCATGTGTCTTCCAGAAGGAATCTTGCAACCAGTGTATTTTTTTTTTCATCTTTCTGCTGATGCGATTAATCAGAATTTGGGGATGCCTCTCATCCTGTGGAGTGTGGTGTAAAGTATATTTTCTTGCAGATTGCAGAGAATAAGCGAATGGTGGTTGTTATGCAATTATCAGCTTTTATTGTTGGACTGCATTAAAAGCCACCAAGCTTAAAATAGTTCAGTATAGCATGTTTACAAAAAGATGCCGCGAACCATTAAAGAAAAGCAAACTATCTCCAAATGCACATTATGGATCACTACTTGAGCATAGAATCAGAGCTGACAGATTACTTAACAACTTTTTGCTTGTTGATGGCTCCACTGGTTCCATAAAACTGAAAGGATTAGTTTCAACTGATCATGAGACAGCTGAAGAAAAAGACAGGATCAGTTCTCACAATGGCAAGGCAAACCATGGGAACCACATTGATTCACCAATCACCTTGCAGTAAATGTGATCTCCGCTAAACCTCGAGGGAATCCCCATTGATCTTCAGCCCTGTTCTCAGATCCAGTTCTCTAAAAATAATAATAATAATAATGCTCTATTCCTGTGTTTGCAACTTCTTCGAGGCATGTTCAGCAGAAGTTCCTTGTGATCTGACAAGGTCTTGAACTTTAACGCTTCCTTTTCCATTTTCTGACCCCATCCCCCTCTCCCCACACCAATTTCTTTGGAGGGGGGTGCTTTATGAATTATGCATAGAATCTAGTGACGAGGGGGCACTGTGGGGGATAGGTTCATGCAAAGCCCACGGCCTGGAGCCATCACATCAGAGGGCAAGCACTCCAAAGACACAAGCTGCTTCCCTATTGGCTCCACAGTGGCAGGTCAGGGGTCATCTGTGAACAACAAGCTCTGCTGCTCTCCCTTGTGATGGACCACAGGAAAATCTCCAGCTACATAAGGACGTGGGTGGAGGACATTTGCAAGAATCATAGAGGCTGAAATTTGCACTCTGTGATCTTGGTAATGTTCTCTTTTATGCTCTGCTCGTCGAAGGTATTTATTTTGAATGTGACCCTCAAATGTTTGTTTTCAAAACTACGTTAACACTGAGTCGTATCTGTATTGTAACTTTAAAATATGCTGTAGAGTGATGATTATTTAACAAAAAAATCATCATTCATTTAAAAAATGTCATTTTAGGGATGCCCATTTTAGTAAGTCAGACAAATTAGGTTGTTTTATTTTATCAAATAAACAGTGGAGCAGTCTGCCCAATGGCTTCGGGAGCCCACTAAGTAAATATAGCACTTAGAAAAATATGTGAACTCTATTTTTATATCTTCAAAAGCTGATAATGGGGACATATTCTTTATTTTGAGATCACAATATGTTATTTTGTCATCTCAAAAAACATTTTTGAGATAATGACATAAAGAAAACGTTTTGTTTTTGTAAGATAATAAGCTAAAAAGGTTATCATGGTGGTTCTTGTGTTCCACCCACTTTCATCATTGCACTGTCATGACACTTGAAGAGATGATTTATAATGAGCTGATAAATAATGGGGCTTTCTTGATGTCGAGTTATGTTTTTGTTGTGGTTTTGTTTTTTGTAGCTTTTCTGATGAAGAAGTAAAATGTTTAGAAAATTCTATTTTTGAAAAAAAAAAGAAATCTATAAAAAACAAGCTTCTCCAGTTCCCTCCATATATTACCTTTTTGTCTAGAGAAGCTTTGTTAGAAAATTAAATAATCTTAATCTTGCCATAATGTCAAGACAATACATTTCTAAGCATGTCCTCTTACGACTACTGTGCATTTTTAGTTCTATTGGAAAATAATAATAAATT